TAATTAAATAGAGCAGCACATGTTTGTGCTTGTATAGCCCTATAGGATAGTTTTTTACTTCATAATGTTTTGGAGAATCATGTTTTGTACTCTGTCCTTGATGACATGTCATTTTGTACAAGCTTGATAACATCTTTTTGTATCATTTGGGTTATTCATGTGTTGGCTTACTATATTTATGGAGTGTGCAATATCAATTTTTGTGTGTGATAGGTAAAATAATTTGCCCAAATGTCATTGATGATATCCACCTTTGTAAAATGGACTTCTTTTTTCACTTTTGTTCAACTTTTTGTTGAAATCCATAGGTATGTCAGTAAATTTACACCCAAGTATGATTGTTTCACTTAACAGGTTTAAGATATAATTCCTTTGGGATGTGACAATCCCCTCTGTAGACCGAGTCAACTCCATTCCCAGTAAATATTGGAGATTTCTGAGGCCCTTGATATCAAATTTTGTCGCAAGCGCCTTTTTTGATCTAATAATTTCCTCTGAATCCTCACCCGTCAAGATAATTTCATCTACATATACTTGAGAATAATAATTTTGTCTCTAGAATTGAATTTAACAAAATAGAGTGTGATCAACTTAACACTGATGATATCCGTTTGTAATCACTATTTCAACAAACTTGTCAAACCAAATACAAGGAGATTGCTTCAAGTCGTTCAAGGACTTCTTCAACTTGCATATAAACCTATTGTTCGACCTGTTTTCCAAGCCTAATGGTATAGTCATCTAAACTTTTTCATAAAAGCCGCGATCAAGATGACATTTTTGACATCAAATTGGGATAAATGCCAACCTTGATTTATTACAAGAAAAAGTAAAACTCGATCCGTAATAAGTTGGCTACAAGTGCGAATATTTTCCTGATAGTCAATCTCGTATGGCACCGTGAAGCCCTTGGCAACCAGTCTAACTGAGAATCTCTCTACACTTTTATCTACATTATATTTGACCATAAATATAAATTTGCAGCATACAATATTTTTCCATCAGGTAACTCTAAGTGCCCGTTATTAATTCTTTCCTAGAGCATGTATTTCTTCCTCAATTGAATGTTTCTATGTTGGAATCTATAGAACCTCTAGAATAAAATTGGGAATCTGCACACTATCAAGGTTTATCACAAAAACCCTGAAAGATGGTAGCAACTTCTCATAGGCTACATATCTTTCAATTGGATAACCAGTGCACCCTCAAATACCTTTCTTGTGTGTAATTGACTTACTAAGTCATCAATCATCGCTGTAAGAGAGTCATGAGTTGAGAAATCCATACCATTATATTTACCAGGAGGATATGATTCTGGCTCTTGACAGTCCTGAGTCGGCATAAGTTCCTCCACGTGCTCAGTGGTTCTTCTTTTGGTGTAGATACATAATTCTTGATCATTGGTGTTATGTTGAGGTGAAGTAGAGATAATTAGGACTATTTATGTGTCAAAGTTTAATTCTTCAAATGTAGTTGGTTGAGGTGGAGTAGAGACAAGTGAAGTTGATTAAGGGACGTGATTTGGATTGGTTAATAAAAAAAATTATCCAAAATCTAATATTCCTTCTAGTTCTCCCCATGAATTTTAGATTTGGAAAAATAAGATTGATTTTTAAAGAAAATGAACATCCATGAAATTGTATATTTTTCGATTGGTTGGGGAGTATCATTTGTACACTTTTTTTGGATGAGTAACTAAGAAAAATGTATCTGAGAGACTTGGGATCAAGTTTGGTGCAGTGTTGTTGATGAATGTGAATAAAGGCAAAAAAAACAAAAAATCTTCAATGTTGTCAGAGAAAAAAAAGCGGGCATGAGTGGGAGTCAATGAAAACATTACAGGAAATTTGAAAATCTAGGATTTGACTGGGCGTCTTATTGATGATGTATGTGGTTGTGAGAATGATTTCTCCCCAAAAACATTTAGGCACGTGATTAAACAACATAATGGCACGAGTGACCTCAAGTGTCTATTTTTTCTTTCTGCAACCCCATGTTGTTGAGTATTCACAAAAAAAAAATATATGAATAATAATGCTTGAAAAGATAAGGACTGAATATTGAACTAAAGTATTCATCAGTATTATTAGTTTTAAGAATATGAATTTTGCTTTGAAATTGAGTGAGAATCATGGAATAAAATGATTGAAATATGGTGACTATTTTAGAATTTTTTTTTCATAAGGAATGCCCATGTTATTCTTGTGTGATTATTTATGAATGATAGAAACTATCGTGCCCCCTTTATATTGTTTACTTGTGAGGGTGCCTAAATATCACTATAAATTGCAGAAAAAAATGTGAAGACTTGTATTACAATTTTGAACATACATGTATGGAATGTTTTGTAAGTTGACAAGTTTCACATTGATAAAGATTGAATTTTTTAGTGACAAATAAATTTGCAAACATTTTTTTCATGTATGCAAAATTTGGATAACCAAGATTGCAACGACTCAACATAACTTGACTTTCAACTGAAACAAAATTTGAATTAGACTAAAAAATACAACTTGACAAATGATAGTGGCTACCAATGAAGTTATTTCCTTTGAACAAGTATAAACTACCATACATCTCAGCATTGCCAATCACCTTCCCTAAATCTACAACCCGAAAATTGCAATAATTGAAATAAAATTTTACACACATTTTAGGTCACGAGTAAGTTTGTTGATTGAGAAATTATTGTAATTTAAATTTGGAACAAAAAGTACACGGCAAAGGTAATGATCCATTGTCAAATTGACTGATCCAGTTCCTACTACTAGTGAGAACAAAACCAATAGCTATTCAAACTGACGAGTCAATGGTAAATGGATTGTAGATTTTGAAGATGTATGAAGATTTGGAGTCAACTATCCAAGGTTTAATTTATTGCTTTGGACACTAAAAGAATGAGATAAGATCTCTTGGTGTGCTAACAGGTTGATACGTTGCTCGACAGAGGATTGTGATGCTTATCCAAAACTATTACAAAAAAGTCTCAATTTTGCTTTTTGATGAATGGGCTGAATTCTAAATTATTGTTGGAAGATATGATACAGACTAAAGACGTACACTCTGATCTAGTTGTGACTCCCAAGGAAGAAGCATAAAAACTAGGTTAAATGTTGAGATGAGAATGCTTAGCTGGATGAGTGGCTTGACACTTATGGTCTGTTTGGGGCAGCGGTGTGGTGGCGGTGAGGCACCGCACCGTAGTTTTGTCGATATGGATAAACTACGTTTGGCAGTTTTTTCAAAAAGCTGTCGTTGAAATCAGCGTTCTCACCGGTCTTGGCTAGGTGCGGTGGCAATTTTCTAGCTGCGGTCTGACTTCTTAAAAAAAAATGTAATAGTCACTACAACCTTTTGCAATATCAGATTATTCTTCAGCAGCTTAAAAAGTTGCAACTACGAAAACAAATATATCCATGAAAGGGTTGACATAGCTCTAGTGGAAGACGGAATTAGAAAGAGTTGTCTTAGATGGTTTGGTCACATTAAACGTTGACCATCTGATGATCTGTTTATGAGAGCAGATGTTTTAGATTTGACTTATGTTAAGAAAAATAGAGGTAGACCCAAAAATACTTTAGCATGTTGTATAAGAAAATGATCATAATTTATTAGAATTAAATGAAAGTATGACACTCAATAGGATAAAATGGAGAAAAGGGAATCATGTAACCGACCCCACTTAGCGGGATAAAGGCTTGTTGTTGTTGTGGATGTTTATATATCTACCAATTGTCAATTTGAGCATACTAGAACCAACGAACCACACACCCAAGTTGGATGAGATTCTTAAAACCGTTCCATTATTTTTCTCATACTTTTGCAACATAGTGGAACAAAGTATTCACTTATATTCATCCATGTCGGGTTGACGGAGTTATCATGAAAGCATGAAACCAATCTAACAAAATACTAGCCATGAACTAAGCCATTAATCATACAAGGCCTGGAGTTACGAGGAGATAAAACTTGGATTTTATTACCTGCCTATTGAATTTGCCCATAAAACTCACCCATCCAAAATACATGATGCACCGACAATGAATACTCACTAGAAGATTTCATTAAGAGTACTCACTGTCAACTAAGCTTTTCCACTACATAGCAAGCTACATGGACTCCAAGTCTATATCCTCTTTTTTTGTTATTTTTTCATCTAGCACTTCTTGTAAGGTGAAGCATGAGCATGATTTAATTTGATATTGAGGCCAAACTCCGTCTCACCAAACATTAAAATCCACTTAAGATTCTCTCTCAAACTTTCTATCTCTTTTTCCACTCTCCTCTATAGCCTTGATTTGTGCTTATTGTAGGGTCTTGGTACTTCACATGAAGAACATTGGATCCAACACATAATACGCATACACACATATTATGTGTTATATATATGCATGAACACATACATATGTACAATTTGTGTTGTGTATCATGTGAACGCACGCATGCATGCGTGTATAAATGTTTTAAAGAATGGGTTGTGGAGTGAGGTCCCCAACCCACCCTATGGGCTCAACCCCCACAAGGTCAGGGGGACACCCGGTGTGCAAATAATTCGAGTACCACCTTGCTTAATGCGACAATGGGCCGCCAGGAGATTCGAACCCGGGACCTGAGGGGACTAACGAACTTTAAAGAGGTTGTTCTACCAACAGGCCACGGACCGCGCACATATAGATACAGATGTAGATATACACACACACACACACACACACACACACACACAAACACACAAACACGTAAAAACAAACATTGTTAATTTGGAGTTAATTCAAACAATTTGGAGACTGAGCATTAAGTTTCACAAATAATTATTAGCCCACATAAAAAGTACACACACACACACACACACACACAAACACACAAACACACAAACACGTAAAAACAAACATTGTTAATTTGGAGTTAATTCAAACAATTTGGAGACTGAGCATTAAGTTTCACAAATAATTATTAGCCCACATAAAAAGGAATTCAACAATGCTGCAAAGAAAACACCCAACCTGGTTCATCATCGTCACAGCGCTCCTCTTCATCAGTAGATGCATCAGGATCCACCAAGCCCGCATCTTTACTTCTCAAACCCGATTCAACCTCTCCAACAAAATCATCAACCAATCCCTCCTCATCATCCACCAACTCCGTCCTTTCAGAAAGCCCTCCTCCATCTTCATCGTCATCCCCTACTACCTCAGTCTCCTCAAAATCATCGACCACCTGCGTCTTTCCCCAGTCTTCAACCTCCTCCCCAAGTTGCTCGCCACAGCTATCCACCCGTTGTGTCTCTCCATATTCCAGCGGAAGCGTTTCACCACCAATAAAAACGGCGTCCCCGCCTGAACTGACAATGATCTGGAATAAAAAAAATATAGAAAAGAACAATAAAATGGAGAAAGAAATGAGAAATACCTAAATGAGGGGAATCGAAATGGAGGACCTGCGTATCATCTTCATCGGTCGGTGGAGGCATCGGGATATTCAGATTTTGATGGAGGTAAGGAAGAAGAGGAAAAAGATACGAGGCCGTGGATGGGATGAGATGACGAGAGGTGAGTGAGAACTGCGATAGCACAAACCCTTGAAATGGTCGAGGGAGAAGGCTGGCGCCGGTGCGTATATACTTTTCATATTTAAAATAGTGATAATAATTACACGAGGTGAGTGAGAACTGAGATAGCTAAACAGGAGAATACGAGCCGTTCACGAATAAATAGTCATTTTGACGACCCTAATCACGTACCATCACATGTTAAAGATTGGGACAAGATTTAAAACATCATTTGAATCTAATTTAATAATTTTTATTTTATTTTCTTCATTAATACTTTTAATTGATTATAAATCTTTGTAGCCTTGTAGTTAACTAAATTTTTAAAAAAGACTACTCATCAAAGATATATATATATAATTGATTAATAGTATTTCGAGCCAAAACGAGTCGAACACGAACGAACGTGTTGTTTGTGTTTGGCTCGTTAACTTAATGAACGAGCCGAACACGACATGTTCGCGAACAACAAGCCGTTTTGACAGCCCTGCTAGTGGCGTAGAAAAATGTATTTAAATTCTCTCCAATTTTATACTAAGACATTTGAGCCTAAAATTAAGAGACTAAAATTTTATTTGTTTAATCCTTTTAGATAAGAATACTCAAATTTATTTCGCCAAGCCTATAGTGGACCACTTTTATTTTTGGAAAATTACATGCATGTTGCTCAATTCTTATATATTTATATATCTAACATCCAATATTCAATTTTTACATACATACCGCCTTACCTATACATCAAAAGGCATATTTTTATTTTTAAATTATAAAATAGGGGTATTAAAAAAATTACAATATTGTTATTTTTTATGTCATATGAAATATTTGTGTTATATAAATGTAAAAAGTAAAGTTTATGGATTAAATATGTAAATACATAAGAATTGGGCGGTACATATGTAATTGCCCCTTTATTTAAAAAAAAAATTAATTTCCATAGTCCATATATATTTTTTAATTTAAAAAATTATTTTTTGTGATATTGAGAGCTAAGCAAAATAGAAAAAAGCATATATGAGATAGAATTATAATTACTCTTAAGGTGTAGAATTATTTATTAGTTATTTTCAATATATATATTTATTATTTTTAAATTAACTTTTTTATAATTAATGTATTACAAAAAAAAAGTACTTTTATTAAATTATAGCTATTGTAAAGCTTCATTTTAAAAATAAAATTATTTTTAGTTTATTTTAATTCATTTTTAATTATGTTTTATTTAATAATATAAATAAATAATTTAATATTAAATTCATTCTAATCAAATTTTATTTAAATTAAATTATAATTTTAATTAAAGACTATATTAGTTTTTAAGTAAATATCAAATGTTAAGTAAATATTATTCAGTTAATTAATGATAATAAAGTATAAGTCTTTATTTTAGACAAGTATTTTTTATTAATTATTTGAATTTTTTAATATGTTTACCCCTCCTAAAAGAAATTGGTGGTTCCGCCCTTGATTGTGATTCATGCAAATTGGCTTTAAACTTAAATTTCTCTAATAAACTCAAATTCAGCTAAGCACATCAATAGGCAGAGGTATTCCCTATAACCACACAAGTAATTTAAGACCCCATCTGAGTGGCCTTTTTTACGGCTCATGTGTTTCAGAACTGGATAAATAACGTTTCGAAACCTTTTATTGACATACGTTTTCCCTATAACCACACAAGTAATTTAAGACCCCATCTGGGTGGCCTTTTTTACAGCTCATGTGTTTCAGAATTGGATAAATAACGTTTCGAAACTTTTTATTGACATACGTTTCGCGAATGGGGGGCCGCATTTCGTTGAATGTTGAAGCAAAAGGGGAGGAGAGCATTCCACGGCTGGAGCTCAATTGCGAGGGGCCTTTGACGTCGTTTTCCCCGTTGATTTTCTGGTAATCTCACTCATCCATCCTCGTATATACCCCTCTCATCATTTGTCACATGTGTCGTTAGAGATAAAACCTGATTTCGCTTCTCTCTTTTTGTTGTCGACGGCCTCCATTGGCTGCCTACCTCGAGTGAATCTTCTCTTTATGATTTTTTTGTGTGGTATATTTGTTGCATACCTCTGTGTTTTTTTCATCTGTGAAATTTTTTATGAGCTTGTTTTGCATATGCATCTAATGATTTTTTATGCTCGATTTGTTTGCTCTTTCCTATACATTTGTGCAGATAAACGTTTTGGGGGGAGATTTCTGAGCACATTTTTTTTTTTCATTATAGTTTTTACTAGTGAGATTGCATATGTTTTAATGCAAATTTCAAGTTTGCAGAGTAGATAAATTAGCATTATCTAAAGTTACCTGAATCAACCAATATAATTAATATAATGAATTATATATGAGCATTTTATATTTGTTTCTTTAAGAATTGTATGTAAATTGTTCTATATGTTTGCAGTAATGTTAGTTGATAAATTTGTTTGCACTTATCTCATCTACAGAGTTGGGTAATATTTTGGGGGGAGAATGTTGAGTGTTGTTTCTTTTTTTTTTAGTATATGAGATATTTTATAAATGAAATTGCGCAAATCTTGATGCAAAATTCAAGTTTGCATGATAGATAAATTAACAGCATTTGTACCTATTATGATCAATCAGTAGAAGCTATAGAATTAAATATATACGAGCATTGTTCATCATTTTTTTTAGGAATTCATTTTTAAAGTATTCAAGAGATATTTATAAATGGAATTGCATATTCTTTTGATGCAAAACTTAAGTTTGCATGATAGATAATTTAGCAGCATCTATACATGTTCTGATAAACTAGTATAAGCTATAAAATAAAATATATATGAGCATTGTACATTTGTTTCTTTAAGAAATTTTTTTTTAGTATATGTTTGCATGATAGATAATTTAGCAGCATCTATACATATTCTGATAAACTAGTATAAACTATAAAATAAAATATATATGAGCATTGTTCATCTGTTTCTTTAAGAAATTCTTTTTTAGTATATAAAATACTTTTACAAATGAAATTGCATATGTTTTCATGCAAAGTTGTAGTTTGCATGATAGATAAAATGAAATTATTTATAATCATCATGATCAATAAATAAATGTTATTAAAAGAAATATATATAAGCATTATTCACCTACTTCTTTAAGAATTCATTTTTTAAGTATCCGAGAGACCTTTATAAATGAAACTGTATATGCTTTGATGCAAAGTTAAACTCTGATGAAAGATAAGTTAGCATCATTTATCTCTATCATGAATCATGATCAACCAATAGAAGATATGTAATGAAATATATACAACATTATACATCTTTTTCCTTAAGAATTTTTCTGGACTTCTACTACATATGCATGCACTGTTTCACTTTGTCGATTTGCTTCCTAATGCCTTCTCTTAGTGTAGAGTAATATTTTGAGCATTGCTTCCTATTTTTTGTTTTTCAGAGACGTATATAAATAAAACCTTAAGAATTTTTGTGGACTTCTACTAAATATGCATGCACTGTTTCACTTTGTCGATTTGCTTCCTACTGTCTTCTCTTAGTGTAGAGTAACATTTTGAGCATTGCTTCCTATTTTTTGTTTTTCTGAGACGTATATAAATAAATTTTCATTTGCTTTGCTGCGAAGTTGAATTTTCAATGAAAAATAAGTTAGGAACATCTATGTCTATCCCAATCAACCAGTAGAAGCAATGAAATAAAATATATGTGAGTATTATTCATCTATTGCTTTAATAAATTTTATTCTTTAATAATTTTTATGTGTTTTTTATACTTGGATATATGAGCATTGTTTTATAGTTTCTCTGAGAAATTTTGATCTATGTCTATCTCAATCAATCAGCAGATGCAATGAAATAAAATATATGTGAGCATTATTTATCTATTTCTTTAATAATTTTTATGTGTTTTTTATACTTGGATATATGAGCATTGTTTTATAGTTTCTCTGAGAAATTTTGTTGGTCGATTTGCTTGCTCTTGCCTCCTCCTCAGTGTAAAGCAACATTTTAGGGGAGACAATGCTGAGCACTGCATCTATTTTTTTTTCCAAGACTTCTATAAATGGAATTGTATATGTTTTGATACAAAATTAAATTTTGCATGATAGATAAATTACCAGCATCTTTACCTATCATGACAAACTAGTAGAAGATATGTAATAAAATATATATGAGTATTGTTCGGTTAACCTCATCTTTTGTGAGGTCTGTCTCCCTCTCTAGAGCATATGATCTAGTCATAAAACTTCTCAACTCACTCTTCTAAAGGAATAGTATTGGGACCCCACCATTTTGAAATTCAAACTACTTCTTGACTCATTGTAGTCTCATATGTATGGTATTGAATCCTCAACTTTTTGTTGAGTCGATTGAGACCAACACATTGATACTCAATATGAGTTCCCATAAGAATTGAAGAATCCCTAAGAAGACCTTTCGGACTTAGGAATTTAATTTTTTGAAACATCACAATTCGCATCACACTCATTCACACTTACATACACTTATATCCATCCAAGTCAGGTTGATAGTCATCGAAAGCATGAAACCAATCTAACTAAATACTGGCCATGAATTAAGCCATTAATCACACAAAGCCTGGAGTCACGAAGAGATAAGACTTGAATTTTATTACTCGCCTATTGAATTTGCACATAAAAGTCGCCCATTCAAAATACATGATGCACCGACTATGAGCACTCACTAGAAGATTTCATTGAAGGTACTCACTGTCAACTAAGCTTTTTCACTACGTAGCAAGCTACATGGACTCCAATTCTATATCCTATATATATATATTTTAAGGTGACAGATTAAAATCCCCAATTTGGTCCAATTTATTGGAAACTAATGTGAGATTGTTAGCCCTTATGGGAGGGAGTAGTAGGAGCTCTAAAGTGGCAGTCGATATCCTCCCAGCCTAACCATGGAATTAAGGACCAAACTCTGGATTAATTAATATTATTTATGCACTCGGAAGAGGGTAAAAAGTAGGATTGCTCCTATTTGGCACAAAACATTATATATATATATATATATTCATCTAGCACTTCTTGTAAGGCGAAGCATGGGC